GGGTTATAAGTATAGTTACCTAGTTACCTTATTTGCAACACTAATTACTAAGTCCCATGAGCCTTTAAGTACATCCCGAAATCCCAGATCCTGGGAAGTATCCCCATTATGCCAGAGATGTTCTGACTTACTGTCAGGCTTGGAAAAGGCTTTCGGGGTATAGTAGAGTAGGGTAATACGGTTGATGGACAAAATCCTGCATGACCTTATGTACCTAAACTATGGGATTTATGGTACTATATTATATTTGGGTCATGCAGAATTTTGTCCATCAGCAGTATAGGGGCTCTGAAGGAACTTCAGGTGTTAGGATGCACGGGTCGTGGGGTCTTCGGATTAATCAGACGAGGGGCTGATGGTCGAGGGAGTTATATGGGTTTAAAACCGTTCAGAAATGGTACGGCTTGCAGGGGGGCCATGATATAGGGGCCTTCATCATGAGACTCGGATTTTGGGGTATACTCTACCACAAAATAATACGAAGCACCAATGCTGGTATTGGTAATTGTTCAGGCTTCTCTAGTAGGGCCTTGTAGGGTTTACGAGTTCAGGACTTTATTGTCTCACAAGAATTTGGAGGTTCCGGTTTTCTTCGAGGGTTTGTATCGGGCTGCTGGTGTGGGAGCATGTGCAGTTCCTCAGGGCCAAGGTGTGCAGTGCTAGCGGTGTGCCAAGACGAGCCATTCCCGGTAGTGTATAGGAACCCTGGCCATGGCTCGGTGGTTTCTGCTCTCAATCCTCACTTTGAATTTGGGTAGAGTGTCGGCGGAGGGCTTTGATGCATCTGGGTTGCGAAGTGCCGCACTCCGGAGTCTTGTTTTGTGTTTGCCGTGGTTGCTATCCGACACTGCGGCAGTCGAAGCAGTTGCTTTAGGCTGCTCCAGAACCCAGGCCTACATCAAGGATGCGCAGAGGGAGAAGCTTTTTACGCAGAACGGCAACGACCAATTGCGGGCCGCGGTGAAAGAGGTCGAGGAGCAAAACCAAGACAAAGTTGTGCTGTACCACGCTTCCTGGCTTGATTGATGAGGTTGCTTTTGCCCGAACAGTGTGGTGGCACTATGGTGTTGATACGTCCGGAGCAAAAAGAGTTGACTAGTCTAGGTGCGAGGTTCCCCGACTTCCGCTGTGGTAGGTGCCTCTTGTCTCGTTATTTACACACGATCCGTCAGCAAGCGTCTTGGCATGTTTTGGCCATGGTCTCGAATCCCGCCGGCACATTGGGGACGCCTCTTGATTGCGTGTCTGAAACCTTTTGACTCCGGGAATGAATGCTTCCGGTACGTTGGGGGAAGCATTTGGGCCCCTGGTGGTCTCTTGGGGTCTCTTGCTGTTCTCCTGGTGGTCTCTTGGTGGTTTCTTGGAATCGGCTGGTGCTCTCTTGGGGTCTCCTGGTAGTCCCTGGTAATGTCCAGGTTGCGACCGGTGTGGTGATGGTCTCCGGGTGGTCCCGTGCTGGTCTCCTCGCGGTCTCCCAGTGGTCGTGGTGGTACTGGCATAAGCCTACTGGCTACCTGATTCAATTGCGTAGATGCTGCCTTGAAGACCTGGCGAAGCTCCGATCTCCATGAAATCCTAACTACACCGAAGCCGTAAAGTGCATCCTTATAGTTCCTTTAAAGGAACCCTAAACCCTAAAGCCCTATAGTGCCCCTTGATGGCCCCACAAAGGCGATGCCGCTGAACGGCTACCTGATGGCCTGGCTCGCGCAGGCCCTAACGGCCAAAGAGAGCACGGAGTGGCAGAAGACACCGGGCGTTTCTGCCGAGTTGAAGTTCAGTCTCCGCCACTTTGAGCCTGGCATGAGCTTTCCCTCCTTCACCCTGCACCTCGGCTGGAAGGTTCATGAAGGCAATTTTAGGGAGAGACCCCAACATCCTCTAGTTGAAGCACATTCCCCCAATTTCTCATATCGAATTTTAATACCTAAGGGCTCTTCGATGAGGATCCACATATTCAACGTGGAGGTTTGGGGTAGCTTTCCCCCGGGGTCGCTGTGCTACACAATGAACTGAATCTGTACTCCATGGGCTCTGCTTCGTTATCGTTGTATTCTGAGGGTTTGTCAAATATCAAACCCTAAACCCTACACCCTAAACCCTTAACCCTACACCCTAGGACTGGTTTCTCATACTTCTACACTTTGCCCGGGCAGCACCTCAAATCCCACTGAAGCCATAGCCGTAGGAGCAGAAGCTTACCGGAACCGCGCAAGGCACCCACAAGCCCTGTAGAGTCACCGTAGAGCCTTCTGGGACTCCCACAGATTAAGGCATACCCTAAGCCGTGAGCCCTGTCTTGTACAGAGCCCGTGTAGATCCCTTAAATGTTTGGGGTTTAGGGTTTAGGGTCTCTGAACCCCCAAACGCTTCACCCTAAGCCGTGGAAACAGGCACAAAGCATCACTTTGCGACACTCCTTGGTGCATTCGGAAAGTGCGAGACGCCGATCCGGAACAAGCGAAGGCTGCCCCGGTTTGTGTTTAGGGCTTGCCCGCCTTGTCTGGTGGGGTTCAGCGACAGAACCCAAATCTTTCTCCGCCTTGTCTGTTGGATTTCGAGCTGCTATATTTCGAACTGGAAAAACGAGGTTAGGACGCGGCTGCACCGGGACTGTGTAGACACTTAGACATATGCGCGAACTATGTGCGCCTCCACAGCTGGAGCACGGAATGTTCCAGGTGCGCTCCAACCGCGGTTGTGGGGGGTCGCCTTCCGAGTCCTGTGCTTACCCGGCCTTCTTCATTAAGACCCAAAACCACAAAGACTGCTCACAAGAATGGCTGGCTTGAGAGTCCCCAATACCACCCAGGTCCTCGGCGACGGGGAATGGAGCAACAACATGGACATGCCCGAGGATCGGAAAGAGTGGAAAGTCTTCGAGGTCGCGTACGACAACCATGTAGAGAAGGCAACTTGGATTTGGTGCGACATTTTCGAGTCATTTTAGTCTCGTTTGCACCGCCCTGAACCCCAAAACATCTAACTGGAAGCTTCTTGGCTTGGATGACCAGGTATATAGGTAGCTCTCTAGATTAGGGTCCGTTTTTAGTCCCCCAAAATAGTACGGCACCCTCATAAAAGATACCCCCAAAAGGCCCCTAATTCGGCGACCTCAGGTATATCATGATTGCAGCGCCCTCGTGCCTTGGTTTCGGAATCAGAAAATGGATCTCCCGGTAGCTGATACATTGCAGTTTTCAGTATCCACCATACAAAAAACATGAGCACGTGATACTACGATAACATGGCAGTGTCACATTGTAGGATTGCAAAACGGTCATGCGGTCATGCGGATCCGAATCATGAGCATGGGCGGCTATTCTATCTGTATATATGTACCCACCGCGTTGTCGCCCACAGTAAGACAGACGACTAGCATGGTGATATGGCGCCGTGGCATGAAATCATCGTGGCGACATACAACAGGTCATTGCAGCAGCGTGACTTGTGCAGGCAGGCTTTCACTAGTCTAGATCCTCAGTATTATCTTCAGACTTCAGAGGATTGTACTTAGTGCATTCCTTCCAATCATTGATGGCCACTCCGCCAACCCCCCCCCCCGCGCCCCCAAGGTGTATGCTGACTTGGCGGAAGACAACAACAAGAACGGCCCACTACTGGAGGAAACAGCCCTGGCAGATGCGCACGTCAGCACAGGCAAGCAGTTCGCCGAATATTTGGACGCCAAGGCCGGAGCTTAGGATTCAACCTGCGAGGGTGTAACATAGAAATAGAAGCCTAAATAGTTACCACGACTATTCCTTCGGGCTCGCTCGCTCTCTCTCTCTCTCTCTCTCGCGCTCTTTCTCTCTCTCTCTCTCTCTCTCTCGTTAGCGTAGAATATACCCCAGAGACCTCTTGAAATCATTGAGGCCCCTGAATGACTGTTTTTGTAAGCTTGTCGTTGCCACGCACTGAAAGCTAGAAGATCTGTTTTTTGTTCGGCCTGACCCTTTCCAAGGTCGGTGAGAAGTGGGAGGACACGCCTGCTTATGATGGCTTAGGAATGTCGACAGTAGGTGTCCAGGACAGAGTCTTGGTGCCAATGAGTTTGGTCTTGAGGTCCAGAGGTTCCCAGCTACTCATCTCATTCCTTAAATACTCCCGTTGACAATGAAGCATGGTATAAGAATAACTGATTATGCCTCTCTGTGGACTAAGGGGCCTACACCCAGCCAACTCCACTTTCTTCTGTAGTGGCTTCAGGTAGTTATTATAGGGGCCTTAACAATTCGAACAGGGTTTTGGGCTCTTTTATAGTATAGCTATAATAAGGAACCCCCAAAAGAATATGGGTAAATATTCCCTAAACCCTAAACCCTGTTCTAATTAGAAAGGCCCCTACATTACAGGTTCGTCGTCATGTTCAGGAGCCTGAAGGCGTAAACCCTAAACCCTAAA